TTTTAACGAGTGGAAGGAAAGACAATCCAGAGGTACTCAATGTCTAGTATGTCCTGGTGACACAATATACATATTTTATCTAACCCTCACAACCCCAATCAACTGTGTAAGTACTTCCTTCCAGAGTATTTTCTACTCTGTGCCTCACACTGTACCACGCATGAAGGAGATAAAGGTGGACAGGGCAGATCCTGCCCCTTTCCCTGTGGCACTGCCAACCTCATGTAGCCGTTCTCAACCTTTCTTCCGTCCTGACACACTTGGGGGACAGAGCATGTCATCCATGCCAGGGACTCATTGTGTTGTGAGTTTCAGCTCAGAACACACTCATGGCAGATTGGGAGGGGGGAGGGGTAGATGGGGTTTTGGAGAGCCGTTTGACAAAGCACCCTGAATGATTTTGATGTATCCGCCTTCCACATGAATAAGGACACAGATTCATCCAAGTTTAAAGGCACTTAGTATACAGTGTATGGGTGCTGTGATGGGAGAGCAGTTCACTGAGCAAGCTCAGGAGCACCTACAGTGGAGCTGAGTGGAGGTCAGAGCCTTCTGGAGGAAGTAACATACAGTGAGAACTAAAGAGTAGTAGGAGCTGTTAGAGAAGGGAAGGGAATGGGATGACATGGTATGGCAGTACCCTGGGAGTAGCTTATGCTAAAGCTCAGGAAAACAACGAAAGGATTTGGTGCCATTAGAAGAATTAAAAGAATTTAAGAATGGCTGAAGGGTGGAGTGCAAGCGAGAGGAACAGCTCAAGACCTAGGTATGGACCTAGTCTTGAGGGGCTTTGTAACCCATGCCCTGCTTCACTCTGAGGGCAGCAGAAGCTACCAAAGGGGATTGATGAAGGGGATATGGCTGCACAGTGAAGGTTTTGGGGGCTGGTAGACAGAAGGCAGCTAACAGCTTGACCCACGGTTGGAGGGGATGTATTTGGATGTATCGGTTAAGGGAAAGAGGAATTAGCTAGGTTTCGACTTCAACACCTGGGTGGGGATATACACAGGCAGAGCAGACCTTTTCTCATAAGTGGCTAGGAGACAGATAATGACCAGTTCAGTTTGGAACATTTAAGTTTGAGGTGTCCAAGTGGGGACTTCTATATATAGTCTACACGGATCTGGAGCTCAGAAAAAAAGACCTGGGCAAGAGAGGACTCCAAAAGCTAGCCAGGCCCACGGCCAGGGTAAATCATCTACGGAGAGTGTGTCGAGTGAAAAGAGACGGCCGAGGCAGGGGTTTTGATCTTTTAATAGCAGCATTTCAAGAACTAGAGGAGGAAGAGGAGGTAGCAGAGGAGAACGTGAGGAGCAAAGCTGTCTAGCAGTGGACGTGTAGCAGGTTACCTTCCATTCCACAGATGAGGAAACTGGGTCTCACATTTCACATCTCGTCTAAGGCCTTCCAGCTGGGATGGGGCAGAATTGAGCTTCAACCTCTATCAGGTGTCTGGCTTTCAAATCACTTGTTTCTATTAGAGGCATACCTTGTTTTATTACACTTTGCTTTATTGCACTTGGCAGATATTGTTTTTTGTTTGTTTTTTACAAATTGGAGGTTTGTGGCAACCCTGCATCGAGCAAGTCTATTGGCACCGTTTTTCCAACAGCATATACTCACTTCATGTCTGTGTATCGCATTTTGTGTAATTCTTGCAATATTTCAAACTTTATGATTATATTTGTTATGGTTATCTGTGATCACTGATTACGACTTGCTGAAAGCTCAGATGATGGTTAGCATTTTTAGCAATAAAGTATTTTATTTATTTTATGCTTCAGTAATCACCTCACCCAATGTGGGGCTCGAACTCACAACCCTGAGATCAAGAGTTGTGTGCTCCTCCCACTGAGCCAGCCAGGTGCCCCAGCAATAAGGTATTTTAAAATTAAGCTTTTAAACGTAAAAACATTGTTTTTTAGACATATGCTATTGCACACTTAATAGACTACAGTATAGTGCAAACATAACTGTATGTACACTGGGAAACCAAAAAATTCCTTTGACCCGCTTTATTATGACATTTGCTTTATTGCAGTGATCTAGAACTGAATCTGCAGTATCTCCCAGGTATACCCGTGTACACAGTTGTGGTTGTATGAACAGGTACAAACTCATCCCTCTAAACCTTTCCTCATTTGGATTTCCCTTCCCAGACACTAATCACAATCTTCCAAAAACACAGGCAGTTTCCCTTCCCTGGCTCTCTCTGTTGCCTAAATGCTAGTGAAGAGACAGAAGGCAACCAATGGGGAAAACAAAGACTCATCTGACCTTGAATTAGGCTATTGGCTAATTCTGAACATGGCCTCCAACCTAATTTACATGGCAAGCTCACTCAGTTCTTCAGGTTCCCTATATGCTTAATGGGGAGAAAAGGATTTCACATTATCCAATGGTCTGAGCTAAGAATGAGGGGCTATATAAAGTTAATCATTAAATAGCTTATAAGATACTGTTGCAAACAGTGCAATGAGAAAATTAGCTTAGGTAACTTGGGCTTTCCCAACAGTCTCTTTTACATAAAGGGACTAAACCTGCTAATCCTGCCACTTGACACCCACCTCGTTTAACCAAGACTAGGTTTGGGTTTTTGTTTTTTTAGTAATCTTTACCCCCCAACATGGGACTAGAACTCACGACGCTGAGATCAAGAGTCGCAGGCTAAACTGACTAAGCCAGCCAGACGCCCCATGACCAGGACTAGGTTTATCGTAGTTCACAGGATGTCAGAAATGAATAAAGGCCCTTGCCTTCTTGGTGTGAGGAGAGGTGAGCCTGGAAGTTCCCCAGACCACAGTTGTCTCCCCTCCCCCATATAGTTGGCATAGAGAGGTTAACTGTGAGCTTTGGAGTCAGACTGCCCATGTGTTCCCATCCCCCTAGCTAGTGGACGCCAGATTCTTGGAATCAGTTTCCTTATCTGTAAAACGGGGTAATAGTACTCACCTCATTCAACTCCTGCACGATAGTCTGACAAAGCACTCAGCAAGCTGCAGAGCACGGAACAGTCAATAATCATTAGCTATTGTCACCACCTTTTTTGGGTTAAGCTTTGCCCAGGGGTGGAGTGGGGCAGGAACCTGGAACTGGTTACTAAGGTTACCTTGTAATGACCCTGAACTGGGGAGTGAAGGAGCAGCAGAGCAGGTGAGGCTAGTGTCAGACTCCACATTCCAAGCGGCAAAAACGCACCAGTTCACAATACTTTCCTGCTTCATGCCCGTCAAGAGATTTCTAAAGAGCAGCGGCAAGGCCCCAGAAGATGGGCCCCCGGCAGAGAAGAGGTTTCTTGTGATCATGTCCTGCGATACTGAGAAATAGGATCCCAGACAAGGTGTGGAGAACTCGTCCATTTCTACACATTGTTGGGATTTCTCCCCATACACCACCTGCTTTCCTGTGGTTGACGTGAGCTCGCGCTAAACTAAGGATAGCAGCTGAGCACTCCGTGCGGGCCCCCACCCCCTCCTGGAATTTAGGAAATCCATCTAAGCGCCGGGCTATCTTTGAAAGGAATTAGCTGTGGCTTCTAAGGAGCTCGCCGGGGAGGGCGACGTGTGGCAGCTCAGGCCAGCCAGGCGAGGAGTCCCCGGACGCCACCCCCACCCCCCAGCCTTTGCGTGAACCCCGCAGCGCCGCACAGCGGGATATCCAGCGCCCCAGCCGGTGGCCAGCGAAACCTTTCCAAGAAATAAAGGGGTAAATTTGGGAGAGGAAGAAAGCCAGCCCTGCAGATGCAACGGCTGCAATTTGGGTCTCTTCTCTCTTCTGACGTAATGCCAGTTTCCTGCTTTCGCATTGCAGTGTGCAGTTTGCTGGCTGGGAAGTCTTTAGATCAATCCACTGAAAGCCAAGATAATCACTGCCACTATCTTGCAGTTTATTTTCCGCGAATACACTAAAACTGGTCCAATAACCCCGCCCCCAAATTCCACGACTTTTGGCTTTTCAGGCCGTATTGTTCTCCCCTCCCCCCAGGAAGGCCGCCTCTACCGAGCACAGCCCAGCAACCAGGAAACGGCGCCCGTTTGTGGCTCAAATGTGGGGCCGGGGCGGGGTCGGTTCAAACGTTCTGCCCCCTTCTCACCCCCCAGCTTCTGTGAGATTCCACACGCCTGGCTTTGTTTTAAGTAAAACTGTTGCTGAAACTGCAGCATTTCCTCCCCCTCTCCAGAAACCGAGGCTGGGAAGTGGGTAAAAACCACCGTGGAACGTGCTCGGGCGCTCTCCCACGTCCCACACCCCCACCGGGATGGGACCAGCAGCGACCGCTCCGCCACCTCACGCGCGCCGGGGTAAATGCACCTCCACAGCCTCCGCCGCCGACACCGCCCAGCCGGGTCCGGGGAGACTCCCAAGGGCTCTTTAAATACGATCTATAAATACTACGGGCTCTGGGCGCGCGCGTCAGGGCAGACTCGGCTTCCTATTGGCTGTCGTAATCTTGCTTATTTGCATAGCCGGATTGCTCAACCGGGCGGCGACCTCTGCCTAGCGCGCCCCTCCTCCTCAGCCAGCGCGCGGGGCCGCGCGGGCGGGCGGGGACAGCGGAGTGGCGGTTGCGCGGCCCGGCGACCGGCGCGGAATAGCGGCGGCGTCCAGAGTTGTTAGAACTGGGGAACCTTTTAAGTCTTGAGTTGTGCAGCAGCCCTGCGGGATGCCTATTGTTTCCCAGAAGGATCAGTTTTGGGAAGCCGAAAGTCGGCCCTTTTAGACTGGATTTTTTTGCTCTCTCCAGAAAGAAAAGGCACGAAGTTTTAAGGGTTTTAACCCGAGCAAACGCTCGGTGTGGCTCGTAGAAGCACCACGTGGGAGTTGGACACGCATCTAGAGTCCTGTCCAATGACTTGCGACTTGGGGTGTTCAAAAATGGCTTTTGCATGATCCCTAGTAAGACCTCAGTAGCTTGAAAACGAAACAAGGAGGGTTCAGAAAACGCAAGATGTAGGATTCCTCCAAGTTTAAATCTAAGTCTTTAAAAATGAGCCAATTAGCTAATAAAAAGCGGCGATGCGGAAACTTTCCCCTTTGCGGTTCTTGCAGCAGAGAATCTTGTAGCAGTTGAAAATGTGCAGCAACTTGACTTTGCCGGGAGTTGGTTCGCTCTGGGGAGAGAGGTGGTGAGGGGGAAGGTCAGAGAGGGAGGAATAGACCATGATTTGAAATCCAGGAAGCAATCCGATGTTGTGGAGAGGCTCAGAAGATTTCTATCCAGAAAAAGCCGTAGATCACGCGAGAAATATGCAGCTATTGTCATATAGTAATAGTCGGATGTTACAAAATCATTTATCTCTTCAGGATGTGAACTGAGAATAGAGACTTTCTGCTGTTCGTTCCAAACATCTTAGGTAGAATCTATCATACGGTGAATTCTTTACATTTGAGTGGGTAAATATGGTGACTTTATTCCTTCATTTTGTTTTAAAATGTTCTGCCCTTAAAGCGCATACAGCATATTCTAAAGTTCCAAGCCTTCCTGTAACAATATCCGGGATGACTGCTGGAAGTATATGTTGGTGTCTTACACCTCTTTGGTCCTCAGTAAGTATTAACGGAATGAATCAATTAGACAAAGACATTTATTAAGAGACTAAGCATGCGCTAAAATCAAAGATCTCATTAAATTATATTTCATAAACGTTCACTTTGACATCCTTCTCCCCTAAATAAAACTCAGAGCCCAAACGTACTCTTGTTATTTGAAAACAGTACTTCAACTACTGTTCCTTGGATTCTAGCGAATATGCTATATACCCTAAAAGCCTTTTAAAAAGAATTTCGGATTTTAACAGAAGAGCGCCCTCTGCTGCCAAATGGTTTATGGGCAACGCGCCTGAAAAGTAAAATGCTTGTGGTGTGCCATAGTATACAAGTCAGTTTATGCTTTAAAATCCATATTAGAGCAAAAGATGGACTTGCTTCATAATCATTATTCTCTACATTAACAGGTACTAATGTAAGAAAAAGTACCTTAATCATCGAACTACTTTTTCCAATAATGTTAGTATGAATCATCAAAGTTGATTTGAATACAGTCTACTTGCAAACATCTTACACCAGCCTTTCTCTTCTCAACTTGTTTCCCCCATCTTAATTAATTAGTGTTTCTAATTTCCCAAGTTAGGTATGGATGCATTTACAATCTCTGCCTTCTTGGTAATCATCTCTTCAATACAAAGACTGTCATTTTATTGTAGTATCTGTATATTTATTGCATTTGTACAGTATTTTCCCTAAAGTTTTTTAATGTTACTTTTTTTTTTTGCTAATTCATTTATTGGTTTCCTTGTTAATATGCCCAGATGAAAAAAGATTTTGAAAAGCCCCCAAGTAACTGTGTAAGTTGAAAACTGCACATCTCAGCTGCCACTTCCATTTGCTCTCATTTTTTGGAGGAGCTCATCTTGAGGAAAGAACTACAATCAGGGGTTAGCTGCTGGGACAGCTTTGAGTCAGTAGGAGGTAAGAGGATAACTGGTAAACCACAAACGAAGAGATAAGGGAGGTGTCTGTCTCCTGCTGTAAATGCTAATATGGGCATTTCAGCTGTGTTCTTTACAATAAGCACTTTACCACCCTTTATAGAAACATACAGATAATGATCACGGATTATCCTGTGGTTCTCAATTCTCTCTCAGTTGCAGAGGCACAAATGGAAATGGAGTTTATTATTATGCTGAAAAATGTATTTAGAAGAAGCTCAAGTACTCTCAGGGCTGGAGAGACTCTGTGCCTGTGTAAGCCTGGGGCAAACAATCCAGAACTCTTAACAGGAGTGCCAAGCACTCCCGCTCCTGGGTGAACTGGGCTGCCTTTTCCCAGCTAATGGTGCAGGAACTGTGTCTTTTTCACACGGATGGCCCTGTGGTCACCACACCTCAAGCCAGCTCTAAAGGTAGAAAATGGATGTGGGTGCCATGAGAATATTCCTGGCAATATGTTTGCCTTCTTCCCCATTTATTTAGTGATAATTACAAATTGTCCTCTTTATAAAAGTTCACATCTCTATCATGCACACATAGTTGGTAAAAATGTCAAGGCTTAAGGGCAGATTGGATACTGGACAAAAGATTAACGAACTGGCCCAGCTTCACTGCAGTTAGGTCAGCACACCCCTGAGATTCTGGGGTGATTAATGAATTAATTTGCAGTGGAGTACAATGGTGGCTTCTCTGGTCCATGGACTGAAGGATGGTCCCTAAATTGTATTCCCGCTGCCCTTGCTCACTGACAGGGAGATCATCTGACCATATGACATGAGTATGAGAGTATGTGCCTTAACTATTGAGAAAGTGTGAAATACATGTTCATTAAACTTGGGTTGTCTTTCCATATTGACATATGACTCGAGTTTCGTATATGTTGTCTCTTAGGAGCCCATAAATTCTAGTTAAAGTCAAAATTACTTTTGTTTTTATAAAAATGAATTTACAATAAAATCCACTTGACTTTTATGATTTATAGTTACTCTTTCAAAATTATGCTTCCTCATTCAAACACAACTTCCTTTAAGTAATTTTGCTCTGTATGTCAGATGGCCTGAAGAATGCAATTAGTAGGATTACCATTTAATGAGAATTTAGTGTCTACCAGGGTCTATACCCAGGTTTCTTGCAATCCTTATCTTAAAAGGGTAGCACTGTTTCTGTTTGCATTTTACAATGAGATAACTGATCTTTAGGGAGGTTACATAACTTGCTCAAAGTTAGTGTCAGAGCTGGCCTTCAAACTGAAGTCCATCTACTCCGGGTCAAACCCTCAGAGAATACTGCAAATATATAAAATTAAAAATAAAAGTTATAGGCCCAATACTAACCACTTTTTATAGTATGATAGAGCAGTATTTCCCGAATTATGTATCAGAGAATGTTAGTTCCATACGACATGTATGAATGACATAAAGAAAAAAGAAAGTTTCCACGATCCAATAAGTTTTGGAAGTAATGGTTTGAACAGTAGAACTGTACAACGTTTGTGAAAGCCATTCATATTGTAGTCATCGTTGGATTTATATAGTTACAAGATTTTTCCAGGAGCTGGCAAAAATGTGTCTTGAGTAGGGGAATGTTCTGTTTTGCACGATGGTGCCATTTGGACTCTCATTGGGGCCAGAGGTGGGAATAGTATGAAATGCCTAACACCTGGATAGGGCCCCATTTTTTAAGGTATTGCCAACATCATCACTTTCTGGTGTTTTTTTACGGTGATAGATTATTTGTATCAGATAGATTTTAAAAAGAGCTAATTATTTTTAGGGTTTTAAATGCCTCACGCTATTACTTATTACACCTAAAAGATATGTTTGGAACGCTAAAAGATTTTCTTGCCAGTAAGAGACTTCACAGTGTGTTATAAGAACATCGGAATGATGAAGTGTAAAATTATTTTCAAAATCAGCTAAGAACAGGTAGTCAGTTCAAGTGAAAATAATTGAAATTTGTAATGAATGCGCTAATACATGTGCATAAAATCCATTTGTTTAAACTTCTTGAAGGGAGAGGCTGTTTTTGTTTCCTTATCCTTGCCAAATGCCTGGCCCATAGGAGGTATTCATAAATGTATTAAATGTTTACTGAGTACTTACTTTGTACCAGGCATGGTTCTGTCCTGGATACTAGAGATAACAGTGGAAAAAGTGGGTTTTTGTCCTCAGGGAGCTTACATTTTATTGGAGAGAAATACACGATAAGTGGAGAGGGGGAAGTGAAGTCATGCAGTGGGTACTACATAGTGGAAAAGTTGTAGGGCCAAGGGATCAAAGTTTTCAGTGAGGCCAAAGAATTTTTGAAATTCTTTGTTTAAGTAAAGGCACTAGGAATGATAACTTTTTGGGAGGTGGTATAGTGACTGGTAACTCTGAGGTGAAGTTACTTTAGAAGTAAGAGGATTAAGTTGAAGACGAAAGGTTTCCTGGAGAGGAGGACTGAGCAGGCTTGATGTTGAATCGGACAGCACCTGGTTGTTGCAGTCGTTGGGAACGGTGACGGGAGCAGAGTGGACAGGAAGACGGTGAGCTCTATGCCTCAGTCTCCTGGGAAGCAACTTAAGAGATCGTAGATGACAGCACGGGGAGGGGTAGGTACTTGTTACATTGCATGGGATGACTTCATAAACGCTGGAGTTTTTCAGGAACAAAAGAAGAGAAATGACTCGAAAAGGGCAATTTATATAAATTCAGGTCGAAGGTAAAGAAGGTGAGGGAACAGTCGGGCAGAACACGTTCCCAGGAGCAGCCAGATTCCACTTCTGCCACGACTGTGATGGAAACACGTATTTGTTGAATGAATAAAATTTAAATCTTCACAGAGACTGAATGATTTTGGATAGTTTTTAACTTAGCCTTTTAGGATAATTTACGTTTAAGTAATGCATATTCCAATTCTCCTTGTTCCTATTTTCATTCGTGTTTCAATATACTCCTAAGGATAAAAGTTGGAAATAGAAGAGAGATTTCTGAATTTAAAAGTTTATGTTGAGAGGGCAACTATCATTTTTTACTTCATGCACTTCAGGATTTTAAAGTTTATTCCAAGTACCTAGTCCTTTTATAATAATATGAAGGTGAAAATAGAGTATGTTTCTTTACCATAAATATCTGAAAATCAGGCCATCAAAAATTAAAATGGATATCTTGAACAACTTCCCTTTCATTCCTGAGCTAGGATAATTTCAGAAAAGAAAAGTCATCAATACGTTTTTGTAGATTGTTCTGCCATCTCCATTCCCCTAACCAAACAGGAATTGTGGTTGGATTTTCTCCAAACAACTGAGTATTTACTCCTTTCTCTTTGTGGAACAAGGAGCTCTAAAGACTTTTCATATTATATCCAGGTTTTAGTGGATGTTTATCCATGTTAAGGAAGCGCATAGAGGGGTTCTGAGGAGAAAAAATGGTTCTTTCTGTTTCCTATTTTCCAAGTAATTACTCACTTGTGTATTGTGCCAATGAGCTCTACCAAATCTTTTTATTTGTTTTGTTTTTCCAGCTTTATTGAGACATAATTGACAAATAAAAATTGTACATAAATAAGATGTACAATGTGATATTTTGATGTGTGTGTGTGTTGTGAAATGATTGCCACATTAAGGTGAGTTAATACATCCATCATCTCACATAGTTGTCATTTGTGTACGTATGTGCTGAGAACATTAAAAATCTACTGCCCTAGCAATTTTCAAGTACACGATACAATATTGTTCACCATAGTCACCATGCTATATGATAGATCCCCAGAACTTAATCTTATAAAAAGTCTTGTGTAAAAATAGAACTACCATATGATCCAGCAATTCTACTCCTGGGTATATATCTGAATGAAATGAAATCACTACCTTTAAGAGTTATCTGTACCCTTGGGGCACCTGGGTGGCTCAGTCAGTAAAGCGTCTGCCTTCAGGCTCAGGTCATGATCCTGGAGTCCAGGGATCAAGCCTCATGTGGGGCTCCCTGCTCAGCGGGGAGCCTGCTTCTGCCCCTCGTCCTGCTCCTTCTTTTTTGTGCTCTCTCTCTCTCTCTAATAAATAAAATCTTAAAAAAAAAAGAGTTATCTGAACCCTCATGTTTATTGCAGTATTATTCGTAATAGCCAAAACATGGAAACAACTTAAGTGTCCGACAGTGAATGAATGGATAAAGAAAATATGGTGTATATATACAGTGGAATATTACTCAGCCATAAAAAGAAGGTTGCCATTTGTGACAATATGAATGAACCTTGAGAGCATTATGCTAAGTGAAATAAGTCAGGGAAAGACAACTACTGCACGATCTATGAAATCTTTGGATAAATAATTCGATAATACTTGAGGCTGAATATTGCCTCCTTTTGGGTTATACCTTATCAACAATAGGTAAAAACATGCTTATTTAATAAAAATAATAACGAAAATGAGCATACACTATGTGTAAGGCATTATGCTAAGCACTCACCTTAGAATATCTCATTTGATCCTTGTAACACCTCATTGAGGTAGGTGCTATTGTCTACTTGACAGATGAAGAAACCTAGACACAGAGGGAATAAGCAGTCTGTATTGTGAACCATTAGGCTACAGTGCCTCTCTGTTTAGGTTATTCAGTAGACATTTTCATTTTTGCTGTGCTTTCGAGCTGAGATTGTCACTAGAACTGGATAATTTTCCTAAAGGGCTTTAGGGAAATGCATTTAGGGTAGAAGACGTTTCAAATTTCCACAAAAGATCATCTCAAAATGACTATATAGTGACAAGAATAAATGATGTTTTTTATAGTGTGGTGAGTGCGATTCATGATATTGTTTTATGTGCCTTGAATCCAGACGTGTTAAGAGTAACTGAGACTCTTTAGGGGGAAAAAAAAAAGGAAACAGGAAAAAGAAAAAAGGAAGAAAAAAGAAAGAGCATATTAAAAATCCCCAATGATTTTGAGTAACATATCTGTATCAGAATTCTGTCAGAAAAGGGGCAGCATACTCAGCTGGGATTGTCTTCCCCCCAGCTTTATTGAGGTATAATTGACAAATAAAATTTTTATCTATTTAGGGTATATAGTGTGATGGTTTGATATATGTATATATTGTGAAATGACCACCACAATCAAGCCAATTAACACATCCATCACCTCACATAGTCCTGATTTGTGTGTGTGTGTGTCTGTGGTGAGAACATTTTAAGATCAGTTTTCTTAGCAAGTTTCAACTATGTAACAGAGTTATTATTAACTATAGACACCATGCTATACATTGGATCTTCAGAACTTACTCATCTTGCATAACTGTGGACTTTTTTAAAAAGTAGTATTTATTAAAATGATCATTTACAGAGATGTGAATGGTTTAAGGGATTAAGGGACTCAATAAGAGATGTTCAGGCACCAGGGATTAATAACAGCAGAAATCTGAAGGGCAGGAGAGGAAAGGGTGTTATCAGAGCTGATGAGAGTGGTGATCTTGGACATGACCTCTAACAAGAAGTACGGTTGTTGAAGGACCAGCCACGGCCAGAGGGGATGAGGTAACACATAAGCAGGAGGAATCGACACTGCCAACTAAAAGGGAAAGGGCAAGAGACCGAGGTAGGGGTGAGGAGTTTCCTACCACAGAGGTTATTCTTCCGGAGCACAGAGCAGGACAGGGAATAGATCTGGGAAGAAACTGAGAGAAAAGGCCCCTTATTTATCAAGAACAGAGCCAGGAGTGATAAGCTAGAGCCCACTGAGTCTCCATTATTTAGTAGGAGCAAAGCTGCATCCAATAAATGGCAAAAACCTTAGGAAATAACTGAGATCTGTAGAACATGATTATAGAGCTGAACTATAGTGAGAGACACTTTGGTATATAAATCACCAATTAGTCAGCTTGGACTGCTGTAACAACATACCATAGATTCAGTGGCTCAAACAACAGGGATTTATTTTCTCACAATCCTGGAGGCTAGAAGTGCCGGATCAGGGTGCTAGTATGGTCGGTCTCTGGGGCAAGCTCTTCTCCCGGCTTGTAGAGGGCTACCATCATGCTCACATAACCTCTTTTTTTGCGCATGCTTCGGTTGGAGGCAGGGAGGAAAGAGAAAGAGAGAAGGAGAATGGGAGAGAGAGTGCTCTTCCTCTTCTTATAAGAATTAATCCCATTGGATTAGGGCCTCACCCTCATGACCTCATCTAACTCTAATTACTCCTCAAAGACCCCATCTCCAAATATCCTCACATTGGGGGTTATGGCTTCAAGATATGAATTTTGGGAGAACACAATTCAATTGATAGCGATTCGGATCTCTTTCCCTCCTTTTCTACTAAAAAAAAAAAAAGTTAAGGGCGCCTAGGTGGCTTAGTCAGTTAAGCGTCTGCCTTTGGCTCAGGTCAGGATCCCAGGGTCCTGGGATCGAGTCCCACATCGGGCTCCCTGCTCAGTGGGGAGCCTGCTTCTCCCTCTGTGTGCTGCTCCCCCTGCTTGTGCTCGCACTCTCTGTCGCTCTCTGTCAAATAAATAAATAAAATCTTTTTTAAAAAAGTTAAGAATTTGTTTTCTGATATTTCCTTTTAAACTTTTTATTGGGAATCATTTTAATCTTTAAAAAATTTGCAAATAGAAGATAGGGAGTTCCTATATACCCTTCACCTGGCTTCCCCCCAATGTTAATAGTTCATATAACCATTGTATAATCATCAAAACCAGGACACTACCATTACTATAATACTATTAGCTAAACTTATTCGAACTGCACCAGTTCTTCCCCTAATGTCCTTTTTTAAATTCCAGGATTCCATACCAAATTTAGTTGTTTGTCTCCTTAGTTTTCTTCAATGTGTGACAATTCTTCATTATTTCCTTGTCTTTAATGACATTGACATCGCTGACGAGTACTGGTCAGTTACTTTGGAGAATGTCTCTTATTTTGGGTTTGTTTGGTATTTTCTCAAGATTAGATTGACATTGTGCATTTTTGTCATGAATACTCCAGAAGTGACCTTGTATTTTTCTCTGTGTATCATTTCAGGGGACACATAATATCAATATGTCTTTAACTGGTGATCTTAACCTTGATCACTTGGTTAAGGTGTGTTTCCTGGGTTTCTCCAAGAAATGTTATGATTTTTACCTTTATAGATAAATATCCTTGAGGAAATCAGTCTCTGATTCTTGATTGTTCAGTGATATCTGAAAACAGAAGTAGGGAAGGGAAGGGAACTTTCTGCCTACAATATTATATGTGCTTTCACTCTGTGAAACACAGAGTGTGAGACAGAGTAATATGAAGTTATTATTCCTATTTTATTTATTTATGTATTTTTAAAGCAAGCTTTACAACCAACGTGGGGCTTGAACTCATAACTCTGAGATCAAGAGTCACATGCTCTACTTACTGAGCCAGCCAGGCACCCCTATTCTTCCTATTTAAAAGAGAAAACTGCATCTTTTTTAGTTTAAGCAACTTGGCCAAGGTTAGAGCTAAGCCTGTATTTGCTCATTTTGAGTAACTATCGGATATTCAGAGGAACTGATTATAAATATAATCACACAATTTGTGACAAGAGAATCCCAAATTCACATTTATTTAATGATAGAACAAATTGTTTCCCTGGTTTTCAAGTGCCTCAATGTGCTAGAATTTATACAGTCTTTAAAAGCAAGTGATAGCTCAGTCTGAGGTACTAATTTAAAACCATGGCACATCTCCAAAACTCATTTAAGAAACCAAGTACTTAATTAAATCTTCAATCAGATTATTTAAGTGCTTTTTAATAATTGTGCTGTGGTTTAGGCAAAAATGATAGAGAAATACCCTTTGAAAATGTTGTGTCATGATTTTTGGAACCAACCAGAGATCATTTACTACAGATAAGTAATGATAAAATGAATAACCATAATGATGATAGCAATTTTTGAGCTATTTAGGATAAGAATTTGTCAATTAAATCATTGTGAATACCTTCTGAATACATGTTAAATTTGAGTGAAGGTGGAAAATGGCATGTTATCTAAATTATATTTTTATTGACAGATGATTGTGTAACATTTCCCAGAATGGCTAAGGAACAGAGGGCACCCCTCCTACACCAAGCCTCCTGCCTTGTCCTGTGCCTGGGGCCATCAGGGTACTAACCCACCACCACCCAGGACTCCTCACTTGCACAGGGCAAGTCTGGCGAAATGGGGCCCTCCTTTATCCTTGGAAACCTCCTTAATTGCCTCTACTCCTCCTCCTCCCCCTATCCATCCCTAGCCCAGAATCTTCAGTACCAGACACAAAAACAGAAGAGCTTAAGGCAGGGCGGGGAGGGCTACTCCTGCACTCCTTGTAATGTTGCTGTGGGGAGGGGGTGGAGTGGCCGGATGCCAGAACGGCCCCCCACACCCTTGGCATCTCAGGCCTCAGGAAGGCTGGGGGTGAGAGTGAGCGATTATCATGGCTTTGTGTGAAGAAGTTTTTAAGTTTGCTCTAGTCCCATTTATCTATTTTTACATTAGTATCATATCTGAAGAAATAATTGTAATGTGCAATGTGCTGAAGATTTTCTATCTTTTTTTTTCTAAGAATTTTATTGTTTTAGATCTTACCTTTAGGTCTTTAATCCATTTAGAGTTCATTTTTGTATATGATGTAGGGTAATGATCCAACTTTATTCTTTTGCATGCAGATATCCAGTTTTCCCAGCACCATTTATTAAAGAGACTGTCCTTTCCTCATTATGTAGTTTGGCACCTTGTCAAAAATCACTTGTTTGTATACAAAAGAATAATTATTATATAAGGTAAAAAGTAAAAAGGCAATTCCAATATTTAGGAAGATGGCATGGATATCTTTTTCCCTTGTTCTCCCACTATGTATAATTGAAATACTAGGATATTATATATAAAACAAACATAAGAAGGATGTGAAAGGTAGAGATAAAAAGGCAGACTTACTAGGGGCCTTAGAGCCCAAGGAACAACATAGTGGTAAGTATTCTGGGTTTTCTTTTTGCTTCATAGATCTTAGACTTGGAATTGAAAAAACTGGCAACCCAGGAACTGTGAATATCAAAAAAACATAAAAAACAAAACAACTTTGACAAAAGCCTGTTTTTTCTAGCCAAAGGATCAGGAAAGGGATAGCCTAGCAAGACAAATTTTTAGACAATAACCACTCTACTGTAGCTCAACACTACTTTATGCCAACAAAGGCTGAGTGGGAGGTCTAGTTTTCTAGACTCACAAAGCTGTGACTTTTATCCTTTCTTGTAGGTAGTAAGGTACGTTCCTTACCCCTTGCAGTGTCAATGGATACTGGACTTCAACTCCTTTCTGGAAGTAAAGGGGCTCCCCACCCCTTTCCACTGGGTTAGTGTTGGGAAGACCTGTTACAGAGTCAGGACTTTCACCATTACACAACAATAATAAGACCACAGGCTGTGATGCTATTGGAGATTACTTGGGGATTTGGAACTCCCACCCATGCCCAAAAGTAACAGAGGGACCCCCACTGTTGAAAATAAAGCATATCAAAATTTGTAGAGAACAGCTAAAGCAGAGCTGAGGGGGAAATATATAGCACTAAATGCATACATTAGAAAAGAAAAAAAAATATCAAATCAATAATCTCAGCTCTCACCTCAAGAATCTAGAAAAAGAAGAGCAAAATAATGCCAATGCAAGCAGAACGAAAGAAAGACTAAAGAGAAGAAATCCATGAAATTGAAAACAAACAAACAAACAAAAAGAGAGAAAGAAAGAGAAAGAGAAAAATCAATGAAAAGGCCAATAAAAGTGATAAACCTCCAGCAAGACTGATAAAGAAAAAAAAAGAAAAGACACACATTACCAATATCAGAAATAAAATAGGGACTATAACTACAGAATCTGCAGACATTAAAAGGATAATACTACAAGCAACTCTACACACATAAAGTTGATAAAAGAAATGGACCAGTTTCTCAAAATGCACAAACTGCCACAAATCACCCAAAACGAAATAATTTGAATGGTTCCAAAATTTTAAGAAAATTGTACTTATAATTGAAAAACTCCCAACAAAGATATGTCTAGGCTCAGATAGTTTCATTGCGAATTCTATCAAATTTTCAAAAAAGGAAAAATTAACACAAGTTATACACTTCTTCCAAAAAACCAAAAAAAAAAAAAACCAAAAAAAAAACCAGGAGAGAATACTTCCTGATTTATTTTATGAAGCTAGTATTACCTTAACACTAAACCCAGGCAAAGCGACACACACAAAAATGAAAAGTACAGGCCAATGTCCCTAATGAATACAAAAGCAAAATTCTTAAAATATTAGCCAGTAGAATTCAGCAGTATATAAAAACAATTATATACCACGACCAAGTGGGTTTATTCCAGGGAAGCAAGGTTGGTTCAGTATTGAAAAGTCAATCAATACAATCCATAATTTTAACATGGTAAAAAAGAAAATCATATCATTATATCAATCAATGCAGAAAAGTGTTTTTGCAAAATTCAAAACCCATTCATGACACACACACACACGCACACACACTCAGAAAAATGGGTATATAGAGAGGAATGTCCTCTATTTGATTACAAACATCTA